TAATCTATAAAACATGAAAAACAAGATCAACAAGGAAAGGCGGCGTTCAATGAACGCAACCAGTCATAGCTAGGTAGTAGTTTATTTATTTTTGCTCCTTTTTGTATTTATTTTGTTAGGCTTTTACACTACTAGTATTAATTTATCTACCCTTCGATATATATATAAATACACTTTTTTCTTTTATTGTCGTAACTAGCAATAATTGTGTTGTTAATGAATGGATTGAATTCACATTGAGACACAATACTCTTTAAGATAAGACCTTTTTATATATCAAATTCAAATATAAAAAAATGTTGGCTCATTTTTAACATTCACTTTGAAGGTTTAATTATTGAATTTTCACTGATGTCTACTATAGTTGAGACTGAAACTTGGTAAATTAAAAAAAAGGTTTTCTTCACTCCTGGGCCAAAAACCTTTGACAAGACCTTCTAAAAAGTTGAAAATGTATGGACTTGAATTATATGTGGACAATAAAACACTTGTGACAAAACGGACATGTTTAATAATTAAGATGTGATATTGACTTTTAAATGACGTTGATGATTGAATTTTACTTATATTGTCTTAACGTTGTCATTTATTTATGGAAATGATTCACACCGGAACAAAGCAAAAAGTATGGCCAGACAGAAAAACCTCAATTTCATTCCTTTAATTTCTTTTAAAATATTTGATTAAATGATTTATTTGTTGCTTTTAGTAAAAGGAAATAAAAAGGCGAGCGTTGGCCTTGCATGGCGGTGGATCTTGTTATCTATTTTATAAAATTAATTTTAAACTTGAATATTTGTTCAAGTTTAACACACAGTAACTTGAAATTTTCAAAACAAACTGTCATGATTCTGTAAGTACTGTACTTACATTTTTTTTTATACAATTGTTGTGTTAATTAGTGGGTAATGATAAAGTGTGATCCACCGGAAGCATATATTAAACAATACGTTCAGATTGAGCGGTACTCAATTTTAAACACTTAAAGGTGTTGGAATCAATGATCCCAAAGGCTAAGAAAAATATTACAACACTGAAATGAAAAACTTAGCAACATGTTACAGCTTCAACACGGTTTCGTACTGCAGCGGTATAATAAAACACTAAAGCGTTATTACAATGTAAAAGGTTTTGTTTGTTGAGGTCAAAATGTATATATTGCTTTTATGGCCTCACATGATTATTCATGATTTCATTTTGTACGCTATTCGGGTCAAACTGTATCTCCATCGAATCTTTAGCTCGTGGGTTCTCTATACAAGGTTGAACAAAACACAAAGAAGTGTCGGAACAAGGTCGAGTTAACGTGAAACATACTCTGTGTTAATACATAAATTTAAGCATTTATTTTAACTATACATGTATATACGAGTGAAATGTTCGTATACATAGCAAACCCTGCATTAGCGTATTCGTAGAATGTTTGCTTTATATCTAGGGCTGCCATTCTTTATTTTTAGCTCACCTGAGCATGCTCAGGGTGAGCTTTTAGGATCGATGATTGTCCGTCGTCCGTCCGTCGTCCGTCCGTCGTCCGTCCGTTCACATTTTGTTGTTAACACTCTAGCGGTCGCATTTTTGCCTCAATCATCATCAAACTTGATCAGGATGCTTATCTAGTTGATAGCTCAGATGAGTTCGAACATGAGTCATCTCGGATGAAAAACTAGGTCACAAGAGCTAAAAATAGAAAAACCTTGTTAACAATCTAGAAGTCACATTTTTGCCTCAATCATCATCACAATTGGTCAGGATGTTTGTCTAGGTGATAGCTCGGATGAGTTCGAACATGGGTCATCTCGGATGAAAAAGTAGGTCACCGGAGCTAAAAATAGAAAAACCTTGTTAACACTCTAGCGGTCACATTTTTGCCTCAATCATCATCAAACTTGGTCAGGATGTTTGTCTAGGTGATAGCTCGGATGAGTTCGAACATGGGTCATCTCGGATGAAAAAGTAGGTCACCGTAGCTAAAAATAGAAAAACCTTGTTAACACTCTAGCGGTCACAATTTTGCCTTAATCATCATCAAACTTGGTCAGGATGTTTGTCTAGGTAATAGCTTAGATGAGTTCGAAAATGGGTCATCTCGGATGAAAAAGTAGGTCACCGGAGCTAAAAATAGAAAAACCTTGTTAACACACTCTAGCGGTCACATTTTTGCATCAATCATCATCAAACTTTGTCAGGAAGCTTGTCTAAGTGATAGCTCGGATGAGTTCGAACATGGATCATCTCGGATGAAAATGTAGGTCACTGGAGCTAAAAGTAGAAAAACCTTGTTAACACTCTAGCGGTCACAATTTTGCCTTAATCATCATTAAACTTGGTCAGGATGTTTGTCTAGGTAATAGCTTAGATGAGTTCGAAAATGGGTCATCTCGGATGAAAAAGTAGGTCACCGGAGCTAAAAATAGAAAAACCTTGTTAACACTCTAGCGGTCACATTTTTGCATCAATCATCATCAAACTTTGTCAGGAAGCTTGTCTAAGTGATAGCTCGGATGAGTTCGAACATGGATCATCTCGGATGAAAATGTAGGTCACTGGAGCTAAAAGTAGAAAAACCTTGTTAACACTCTAGCGGTCACATTTTTGCCTCAATCATTATCAAACTTGGTCAGGGTGCTTATCTAGGTGATAGCTTGGATGAGTTCGAACATAGGTAATCCTGGATGAAAAACTTGGTCACCTGAGCTAAAAATAGAAAAACCTTGTTAACACTCTAGAGGTCACAATTTTGCCTCAATCATCATCAAACTTGGTCAAGAAGTTTTTCTAGGTGATAGCTTGGATGATTTCGAACATTGGTCATCTCGGATGAAAAACTAGGTGCAGGAGCTAAAAATAGAAAAATCTTGTGAACACTCTAGTGGCTACTGTTTTGATCCAAATATCCTATAAATTGGTCTGATAGTTTGTTTTGATGATTTCTAAGTCAAGTTCGAACATGGGTCATCTTGGATGAAAAACTAGGTCACACCACCCAAATATGGAAAAACATTGTTAACATTCTAGTGGTCACATTTTCTACTCAATTATCATCAAACTTGGTCAGGATGCTTGTCTAGGTAATTGCTCGGATGAGTTCGAAATCGCATGTGAAACTAGGTCACCGGAGCTAAAACTAGAAAAATCTTGTTAACACTCTAGTTGCCACTGTTTTGATCCAAGTATCCTGGAAATTGGTCTGAAAGTTTGTTTTGATGATTTCTAGGTCAAGTTTGAATATGGGTCACCTGGGTAAAAAACTAGGTCACACTGCTCAAATATGGATAATCCTTGTTAACACTGTAGTGGTCACATTTTTGACTCACCTGTCATGAGACTTGGTCAGAATGCTTGTCTAGGTAATTGTTTGGATGAGTTTGATGGGTCAGGTGAGCGATCTAGGGCCATCATGGCCCTCTTGTTTATTGAAACTATTTCGTGTCAAATTGCATATATGTTTTAGAATAAATACTTCTTCGGAATTATGTTGTTGACATTGTGTTCAAAATGACAGACGGTTGTATTTCGAGTATGAACCGTACTAATTGAATTACTGTAGGTTTAAGTTTGCTTTGTCTTGATTTTGTTTTTTATTGACTTTACATGTACAAAATCAATGCTATGTATTATGTTTCATCATAAACAGTAAATAGAGGGATCTATATATTATGGGAGCATAATATCTTATTGAGAAATTACATTTGACGCTGTATGTGTGACAATAAATATTTTATCATAAGTTGGTATTTGACTCTGAGATCCTTTGACTGCCTTGTGTCTTACCAATTGTCCTTTGTAGAAAAGTTTTGCTGGGGCTAGATTTACTTAATTGCGCACCTCCTTGTTTATCTATTTCCTCATTATTTTTCAATTATATATACGGACAAACTTATTTTTCACATTTGGTGATATAATCATTTTTGTGGAAATGCGAATAAATTCTGATGTCTGCATCAATTTGTTCGTTTTAGATTCATAAATACTTACTCCAACGTTTACTGGAACAATGTTTATTTTGCCAAATTGATACTTACAACAGTTTCGCTTTTAGTTAACTATAAGTATGGGACTATTCATATTGACGGTAAAAAGTTTATAATTTTACCTAAATAGAGGACATTATGTATTCTCTTCCTTCTAAACATGTCTTACAATACCCTAGAATACAGCTATTGCAATGTCGATTAAAAAATATTTCGGGGTATGAACCAACAATCATCTTTGTTTCTTTTATAAGACAAACATCTATGTAAGTAGTTTACGTACACACAGATATTATCAAAAATCTTTTTAAATCATTTTGTTTTTCAATCAATATTTACCAACATCCTTTGTAGTTCAACCATTACTGATATCAAATCCGTATGCCTATATATAATATGCAAGGAAAATAGCCAATATTTCAGTCTGTTCAAAAACGGTCTCACTGACTATCCTTTTCATCACCTTTTTGACACTGATTATCATGGTTTTGCCACAAATGATGGGTACTTTTTATGATACATTTCATACATGTTAGTTTTTTGCTCATACTTCATTTTAAGAACATGAGTTATTTTCTTGGAAAATTGTATCTATATTTCCGAAATTTATAACATTTACATATCATTTAATTCTATGTTTAAATTGTAAATATAACAGTAAAGTCCCTAAACAAGGAATTTTTTGAAAAGAGAAAATCAGGAACATTGTAAAATTTCCTTCACTGTGCCCTAAAGGTTTATGAAGCATATGGGGTACCTTGATATTTAAGGGAAAGATTAGTCAAAGCTAATTTTTTTATCCTATATTAGAATTTTAGATAACTACAACATATTTTACACAGAGATGATAAAATTACGAAAAGTCATGCCTGATATAACTTTGATAAATTCCATCAGCGATAGACACATCGTCACAAGAAAACAAACAAGGAATGACAGTTGTTATCTGTGTTATCAGCTTTCATGCGGCTACAACTTGACAATGCATAAAAAAGGTGAGATAAGACAAATAAATACAAATATTTTAAAGAAACGACTTTGATTTATTGTATATCAGAGTGGTTTACAGAGATAGTTTAATACGTCCTGTTTAAAATAGTGGGTAGAAAAAAGAAAGAAAGGAAAACAACAGTGATTAGAATATTTCAGTATAAATGTAAGTATTTAATATCTCTAAGTATTATGTATTTAAAATATAAAAATAGGTTTATTGGGAAATGCAAAATATAAAAAACGTTCACGGTTTATACGCTTTTTCATTAAACGCTTTCGAAGTTATTGACAGGAACGAATAATATTACGATCAGACAATTACGTAACGTTATAAAGGCTTGGCAACCGTCAAACTACAACGTTGCCCGGCAAATCAAATAGCTTTTTACTTATTTCTGAAGTATTGATTTGTAAACAAAATATGCGTATCATAAAATTTATGTTAAAGTAAATACATTTGTAAAACGTATGCATGACTTATGGGTACTTTTTAATTTATATGAGCTATTTGGGTTAAAGTTTGATAGAAAACAGTTACTTGTGCAAATGGAAAAGTGATTTTCTATATAAAGTCCTAAAGTAGTAATGTTGTCAAAAAAATACAAATAAAAAAAATAAATAAAACAACAACATGCTCAAAGTGTAGTGTTTCAATTTAGGCTGTAATATGCGTATCCGTGGCCGAGTGGTTAGGGTCGTTGACTTCAAACGACTTTCCCCTCACTCCGTGGGTTCGAATCATGAAATGTAATGCAGATTATTCAATGTGAGGAAGCTATCCAGCTAGCTTATTTAACATCGTATGTTATATCCACGTGGCTTTTTATGCATCAAATAATTCCTTATTGGAATGCTACGTAAAACTCAATAAAAAATATGCTCATAACTGAGGAATAATTGTTTTTAAATCTCTGAAGTGATAATCGTTTTGAGAATTGTAGCGGGGAAACATATTAAATTTTCCACTTAATATTAAGTTGTTTATTTACCTTAAGAATACGAAGTGACTCTGTATTAGTTTGTTGTCTATGTAAATTCATTCTCAACAGTTTTTTTTAAAGTTTTAACTGTTTATTATTCTTTTATCATGAAATACTTTTTTAATTCTATGACAATTATGTAATGTTTTTACATGAATATACAACTTGGGAACATATTTTTGGGGTTGTATGGATAACAGGGATAACACTATGAGAGGAAGTACAAGTATCATGGCGATCAATGGTTTTAGTGGGCCCTCTAGAACTAGTCAGCAACGTCTTTGTGTTTTACTAGTAGGTCCTCCACATAAAAGGCTTAAAAGGTCAATCGTCGGGAACACAAACTTTCATATATTCGGACTGTTGTTCGTTCAATGAATAAGTGATTGTTTTAATTTTGTGAATTTGTCGGTTAACTTGTTGAGTGTTCAAAATAGTTTAGATGGTCATACACTTCTTTCATAAGACCATTACCAAATTTTCATATAATGCGATGTAAAACATGTTTAGTTCTTTTATCAGCTCTTTCATCTGTTTCTTCTTAATACATAGGATCATTTAACCCATTACTTCAAATGCACAAGATCAGATAAGACCATTTCTGCATAAAAACAGTTTATACATCATCTCCGTAAGGGTAATTTTGGAAATTTGATATTTTCACACCTACTATTTAAGGTGTCAAATATTGTTTTTGTAATGACTAAAGTGGCAATAAATTGTTTGTGCGGGATTTAATTTGCTGTTTAATGATATAATTATATTTTTACGTTTTACATTTACCAGGGAAAAAGATCAAGATGAGGAGTTTCGTTTATCATCTTTCTAATTGATATAATTATATTTATCTCAACTTAATTATAACTTTATTTCAATTTCATTCAAATTTTTACGATTCCAAACAAATCTTTAATGAAGTTGAGCAAATTGATTGGATTTTTTTTTTGTTCTGTAATAAAACTGGTATGCAATTTAAGAAAATTTTAATACAAATATAATGAATTCATATTTTAAAGAGCGTTTAGTTTTGACGGGATAAAACTAATTCAATTCATTTCATGCTTAGTTTTCTAATATTATTTGAAATTTAGAAATATCTTTTAGAAACCATTATCCAGTCACGATAGAAATTGATTGGATACTTACCTAAAATTAAATGACTCATCATAGATCTGAGAGAAATAACTTGGGAAGGAGTGTTGTTTAGTCACTTCTATTTAGTTAGTTAATCACATTGCTCTGTAACTCTGACAAATTCGAGTACGAATTTAACTATAGCGGGGGAGTATGTCAGGGTTCAAAACTGTACACAATCTGAAATGTTAAAATGTAACACAACAGAGGTAACAGATCTTTTGCATCTGCACTTTGTTAAAAAAAAACAACGTTTCTTACAGTAGCACCATTGTTTTACATACTAAGACGATACGATATGAACTGAAGCGGCAGATTTTATTCAAAATAGAATAATTAACGAGAATCATAATTGAAACAATTGCAAAAACTAAACAACTGAAATGTGTCAACCCTTGAGCGAGGCAAATACTGACCAGAAGAAATTCAAACCTTGGTTTTACACATAGTTTTACTAATTTAAAAAATATCATTTTGTCAAATTTTTACCTATCTTCTAACTCGATGAAAAGCAGACAACAAAAAGTAAAATTCATATGAAATAAACATTTAATTTACCTAAAGAACGTCAGACCTGCGCTTTGCAGATATTCTTATCATGGTTAACAATGTTACTCGATGTAGTTAATTTCGATGAACTTCACAGGTTCAATACTTAAATGCAAACACGACATTGATAACAGACGCCAAAGTTTTATTGACACAAGTGGTTGAACTATTATTCGTATTAAATTGTTCATTTGTGGATGTATTGTAGCAACTTTGAAATTTTCAATATGTAACGGACATTTTATCTGTTGAGAAATGACAGTAACGGACATCAAACAATTTCATTTGATTTTTAAGAACTTGAGTCGCGTTAAATCAATTTATCTTTTTGAATGTTCTGACTGTCTACGCAATAATCTGAAAAATGACAAAGTACTTATTACTTATCTGATAGATTTGAAAAAAAATATTTTGACAAATTGAAAACACCTGTTTGAAATGAAGTAAGTAGATAACATAAGTGTCATAATTTTTGTTGTTTTTTTTCTTTTGAAATGGGCAAAACCATTTATGCTCGTCACTCTTCAAGAATAAATAATCTAAACATGGGCCATAGACTTAATCTGTAAAAGATGAGTTACATTATTATGTTTTTGTTTTCACTTTTTGTCTTTAAAATATAAACTTGATACAGGTTAGTCATTCTTAAATTTAAATTTAATCAAGAAATGTCTGCAAAGTAGAACTAGTACTGCGTCTTCTGTACTCGAAGTGTGATTCTCCAAATCTCAACACAACAAGATGGCAAGGAAAACGGTCAGAAAATTTAACAAAAAGGTTCGTATTTTCTTTTACTTGTCATAATGAATTCAATTCATTACGTTGAATATCACAATAGTGACCAAAGTGTTTTTAAAACTTTTAATTTATAATATGTAGTTAACATAATGAAATGATTGACAACAAATAAATTATATACAAGTTTCATAAACAGGGAATTGTAATAATTGACAACAAAATGTTTTTAACATTTTTTAGCATGAGCGTAACTTAAGGATGCATACACAATTTAGGCCATTTACCAACTTTGCTGTACGACTGGTGAAACAGGTACATACCCTCTCTGGGGTTATCAAAATGCTGAAGGAGAGAAACCTAACCAATCAAGCACAAGAGGTTATTTTACGATAATTGATTCGCCTTCATAAACGAAATTAATATATATTCTTTGTACTTAAATGCATGAAATAAATATTACAATATGAGATTTAAAGTGTTTAAGACTTGATGTAGTTCTTTAAGCTGAACGAACATTTAGCTATTTCTGACAATTGTTAACAATTTAAAAAAATGTTCCTTTTGTAGATTCTGCCCAATACATTCAAATAATATTGTTGTCTTCAAATTGTTTGATAATAAGTACAAAGAAACAGAAATATACCATATTTTTATGCCACCGCAGCATCTGCGATGCGGTGGCATATAGCGATTAACCTGTGTGTTTGTGTGTGTGTTTGTTTGTTCGCGTGTGCCCCGCCCCGGGGGTCATTGATTGTCACTATGTACATATAGTAAAATCTTGAAATACATTCTTGTAAAGACCCAAAAGGCCTACAGGTTAGATATTTTGCATAAGGCATTGTCTGGTAGACCCTTACCAAGATTGTTCAAATTATAGCCCTGGGGTCAAAACCGGCCCCTCCCCGGGGGTCATTGATTTTCACTATATGTACATATAGTAAAAACTTAAAATACCTTCTTGTAAAGACCAAAAGGCCTAGAGCTTAGATATTTTGCATAAGGCATTGTCTGGTTGACCTCTACCCAGATTGTTCAAATTATAGCCCTGGGGCCAAAATCGGCCCCGCCATGGGGGTCATTGGTTTTCCTTATATGTATATAAAACAAACTTATAGTAAAAACTTAAAAAAATTTCTACATGCAATTGACAAATCCTAGAGGTTAGATATTTTGCATTAAACATTGTGTGATAAACCTCTAGCAAGATTGTTCAAATTATAGCACTGGGGTCAAAATTGCCCCCGCCCCGGGGGTCATTGATTTTCAATATATACATATAGTAAAACATTAAAAAAATCTTATTGTCTGAAGATACAAGGCTTAGAGCTTTGATATTTGTTAAATGATATCATCTATAGGTTCTCTATCAAAGTTGTTCCAATTTTGCCTCAAAATTTTGTGTCAAAATTAGCCCCGCCCCGGGGGCCATAGGTCTTCCTTATATGTTTATAGAAAAAACTTAAAAACTCATCTTCTCTAAATTTACAAAGGCTAGAGTTAAGATATTTTGCATGAATCATTGTGTATTGAACCTCTAGCAAGATCGTACAAATTATAGCCCTGGGGTCAAAATTGGCCCCATCTCCAGGGGTCATTGATTTTCACTATAGACATACAGTAAAAAAATCTGCTTGTCTGAAGGTACAAGGCTTAGAGCTTTGATATTTGGTATATAATATCATCTATGGGTCCACTACTAAAGTTGTTTTAATTATGCCCCTAGTGTTAAAATTGCCCTGACCCAGAGGCGATAGTTGTAAAAACTTAAAAATCTTCTTCTCTGAATTGACAAAGGCTAGAGGTTAAATATATGGCATGAGACTTTGCAAAGTGAACCTTTACCAAGATTGTACAAATTATAGCCTTGGGGTCAAAATTGGTTCCGCCCCGGGGGTCATTGATTTTCATTATGTACATATAGTAAAAAAAAATACAAAAATATTTTTGTTTGAAGGTACAGGGCATAGACCTTTGATGTTTGCTATATAATATCATCTATAGGTCCTCTACCAAGGTTGTTCAAATTTTTCCCCTGGTGTCAAAATTGGCCCTGTCCGAGGGCAGTGATTCTCATTATGTACACAAAATAAAACAAATGTTTTCTGAATGGGAGAAAGCTACAGCTTAAATATTTGACTTGAAATGTTGTTTGGTGGACCTGTATCAAGATTGTTTTGAATTAAACCCTTCGGTCAAAATTTTACCTTGCCCAAGGGGACATTGACCTACTTTCTTGTCCTTTGATGTACAGCAATAAAATTTTGACCATGTGCACAGTTTTAGTTGTAAAATTGAACTTTGATATCAGGTTACCTAGATTGTGATGATGTGACCTACTTTCTTGTCCTTTGATGTACAGCTATGAAATTTGAACCATGTGCACGGATTAAGATGTAAAGTGAACTTTGATATCAGCTGACCTAGGTTTCGACAAAGTGTCTTACTGTGTTGTCCTTTGATGTAGTCATGAAATTTAGGCTGTGGGAAATATGACCTTCACCACCAAATTCACTAGACTCAAGTGCATTGATATATTCCTTCTCTGGTCTTTTATTGAGTTAACAATAGATTTAAACACAAAGCTGATAATAAGAATTCGTTAGGTGAGGGATCTATGCATTATGACAATCTTCAATTGTATAGAAACAAAAAAATCTGTTCCTATACTACTATTCAGTGTTGTATTAATGCGGCGGCATAGCATTTTTCTCAAATGCAATCTTGTTTCTTTTCTTAATTTAGAGTTGTGATCAAATACAAAATCTCATCAATGTTCGTGGTAATCTTAAACAACTGATAATCGACGTAAATCGTCGTCTTCATATATTTCGCAGCCAAAAGCGTAAGCATAAAAATGCTTCTATTGTTGTTTTTTTAATCAAACGGATATAAATGTTCTTGAACATGCATACATATTTTATATTACTTGTTTTTGTAGTACTACATTGAAGATTTACGTAACTATAGATATAATTTCCATTTTATGTGAGTGTTTCCGAAACATTTTCATACAAAAATAAAACACAGCTTGTATCAATTATTTATCAGAAAAGCTATACTAGTATCATTTAAAAAAAAAACGAAAATATATTTAATATATACAGGATATTTTAGTTTTTTCCTATACATACATGATGTATTTGCATTGAGTGTTATAAAAATAAATATATATCATGAGCGGCGGTAGCCACGAGTGAAATATGATAATTGTATATGACAAGGTAAAAAGAAATCATGTATATTTATTTTATCATCATTATTTTATTTTGTACGTTTTTCTTTGTTTAAAGATTTCCTCTTTAGTTTTGTGTTTTGGCTGAATTTAGGAGAAAGAAATCCGGCAAGACACCAGTGAAAATACGGAAAATAGGTTTCAAAGCAGTGAAATATAAATTTTTACAGTGAAAAGACATATTACTAAGCATTTTATTTCATCAATATTTCTAAATATTTCAATATTAAGTATAGAATTAATTGTTTTACTATGTTATGCTACAAATCTTTTCTGATAAATTTTGTCAAGTGTATTACTATTTTGGAAACTTATATTGCTATACGAATATGAAGCAGACAGAAAAGTCTGAAGTGACTTATAAGTAATAGACAGCTTCAATGTAACCAAATTTAATTGTATCATTATTTTGCCAGCTGCCTCCTTTTTTCAAGAAGACATGCAGAAGACAGAAGGTATATCAACAACATTCGCAGTAAGTATGATTCAAGCAGTGAGTCCTGGTTGAATGTCAAAGCTTTTTAAAAAAAAAAATATTATTAATTAATTGCTTAAGTTTTGTTCATAAAACAACACAATAAATATTTACGCAAATTAAATTAAATTGAATTGATCGAGTTATAATTCATGAAGGTAAGCATTGTCTTAATGTATAATCATATAAACCCATATAAAATTGTCTCATTGGCTGCAAGCCCAGTGATCTGGGCGGTTTGCAAGTCTAATATATTCTTGGGGGAGATATTTTCGCACTTAATGTATATCCATTTGAAGCAGGCCTCAAATTCTAGAGCTTTATGGTTACTTGCAACTGGTCGGCTGCATATACCACAAGCAACAAGACGTCCTGCAAGACACCAATGAAAAAAGGAAAATATGTTTCACTGAATAGAAATATAACCTTTGACAGTAAAAATACGGGAAATGAAACTACGCATTTATTTCATCAATATTTTTTTGCAATATTACAATTATAAGTATAGAATGAATTGTTTTAATTTGTTATGCTGAAATGCTTTTCTGATAACTGGAACATTTTACCAACTGTATTACTATTTTGAAAGTTAAATTGCTATACGAATATGAATCGGACAGAAAAATCTGAAGTGGCTAATAAGTGACAAACATTTTCAATTTAACCACATTGAATTGTATTATTGTTTGGCAGCTGTCTCATTTTTTAGAAGAATTTCAGACGACAGAAGGTATATAAACAACATTTTCGGAAAGAAAGATTATAGCAATCAGTCCTGGTCAAAGCTTTTAAAAAAATGTCCTAATTAATTATTTGCTTTAGTGTTTTACAGAACAACAAAATATGCAAATTAAATTAAATTGATTTGATCAGGTTATAAAAGTTAAGCATTGTGTTAATGTATAATCATATTAACCCACAGGTTTTGCGCATAAAGAGAGTAACAGTTGGGTTAAGTCAGTTTCCAAGGTTTGCATACGCACTAGACAATATGATAGATGTTGTGGAGAGATATCCTGTAGTTTTGGGATCGACTTACTATGGAATCCAAACTGAAAGGTGTATTTCGTTCTATTTGTGTACTACCAATGGCAACAAGATCAATGATTTTATAGAAGAGGAAATAAAAAATGGAAAGTTCATTAAAATGGAAGATGTTGGCCCCCTGGAACAATTTGTTGAGTCTCAAGAGCTGTCAGATGTTTTTTGCTTTGAATTACACAAGAAGTATGAACATATAATGGGAAAAATAGGCAAGGGAACAGACATTGTTTTCATCCTAAACGATTCTGACAGAGAAGCCCGAGGTTTTTCGGATATCAAAACCACAGATTCAAACAAAAACGGTTTCTTTCTTCAAACATGTAACAACTGGAAACAGATAGATACAGTCTTAGAAAAATGGCTTTTTCAAAGCTTCAATACAGTTTGTCTTGAATTGGCAAGAAATATTGAATCTAATCATATTGCAAAAAGCACACCAGATAGATGTGCACATGAAGAAAAACAAACAGGCAAGCGTACATCCTGGAGTCATCAGATTGAAAAAGAGGATCATCACAAACAGAAGAAAGAGAATTCGACCGAACACAAAGTTCTTCGAGGTAAGTGGCAAATACTAAAAGATAAACAACCATGTTTATTAGAGAGGTAAAATTATTCAATTTGAAGCTAATGTATCGCATGTAAAGCCTTAAATCATAAGAACCAGTCATGCTCCGCTTCAAAAATATAACTTGACTTTAATAATTACAACAAAAAAAACAACCATCGAAGTGAACAAATCGGTACAAGGAAAAATCGGAAAATATCATTTAAGTTACTTAACGAGCAATGGTTCATTCCGTTTTTTTTACATTTGAACCTTGTATTTGAATAAATCGGTTATTGTTTTCTGAATAGCAATTTACTATTTCATGTTCAGAAAATAGTAACAGTGAATATTATAACTACAACACTACCATGCACTATTATATTACCGAGAGGACCGTGTACCACCGGAATTTTTCTGCTCCTTTAAGTTTTGAACCAGTATGACTAAATTACACGCAGCTTTATATACTGTTTATTCCAATCAAATGATGTATACACTTTTATGAAAGTCTTGGACTTAAAAATGTTTGATTAACATACTTTATGCCCGTTTTGGGAAATGTTTCATGCACTTTATTGAATTTTACGAGTAACTTTTATTTTATTTTGATACTTTTTTTAATATAGCTCTAAACTAATTAATTTAGTTCGATAAAATAACATAAATTATTTCCTTTGTAGAAAAAATATCCCATATTAAACCTGTTTTTAAACAATAACCTGTCTAATTCTGTAATTTCTGATTATAGCTATATTATTAATATGTAACAATAAATTCTTTAGAGAATGGGCAGGCCAATGAGCCAAACATATTCTACATACGAGAAGGTATTCTTTCAACTTTGCGGGAGGATATAAAAGTATGTCTTATGACAGAGATGATTGGGCTCTTTAATATGAGTGATATCAGTTTTGAAGGTATTCCAAATATTTTCAAGGACAGACATAATATGGATATTAAAAAGGTAATGTCGTCTTCTTTACAAACTATCCAAAACTAATGCATATACGTTTTTAAGGCAAGGTAAATTTTTAAAAATGAAAGCAATATATTTTTTTGTCATTTCAGAAGAATTTATCACGCCTTTTGGATTCAGAAAATAGTAATAAGCCTATTTGTACACACTTAAACATATTTAAGATACGGAAACCATGAATACGCCTTTTATTAGCAATGTACTATGTTGAACTTTGTGTCCCATACCTGTAGTGATTTATATACATATGTGATTGTAAATTTCTACTTACTGGTAAGTGTTTCATTGCCATAATAATTTACATTATAAATGAAACGTTTATAACTTTACTTGTATTTTCTGCGACATGTATTGTTTATTCGTTTTTGCAAATATGTGTTTTTCATCACTGCAATTGCATAATTGTTTCTTTTTTGTTTAGATTAGCAGAGACCTGTTTTCAAAGGTTGATGGTCTTCATGGTATTGGATATCGTATGCAGAAGCTACAAGTTGTTGTGAAAGACGGCCAAATGTTTGAAACAGAAGAAAAACAAAGGAAGCTTCGACAAGCGTTAAACGACCTTAACGTCTACGAGTACGAAATCGTTCCATTTTCAATGAATAAATATCTAACATCCGGCGACGAAATCGCTGTTGGTGGGAATCGCGGAAGTTTTGGATGCTTTGCAAAAACGCAAGAAACAAAAGACGAGTCGACGATGATTTGTGGACTTTTGTCAAAACATGTAGCGTCAACAAGTGAGCTGAACACAAGTCAGCAAGAAATCGAATTACGTTTGATAGAAGACGGTGAACCAAAAGGTGTTGGCAATATAATACGCAAGACTATATGTAATGGCTGTCTTGATATAGCAGCAGCGGCTCTTTCCATAACAGAAGACGAATGTGACACAAGATTTAAAACAGCAAGTGGTTTACCACGGAAGTCTGGCAAATTATATCACAGTCGATCTAAAGACCTATTAGGACAAAAAGTTCATATGTGGGGAGCTAAATCGAAGCCTGGCAAGGGAATTATAACAGTACCAGAGTACATATGCGAAGGCATGGATCATTCTCTAATTCAAGTTGAAGATATGGTTGATGGAAACGGAATTGTAAAAAAACGATTCGCTCAACCTGGTGATAGTGGTGCTATTGCCTGCACTGATGTTCCAGGGCAAGACTTTGTCAATCTTGTCTCAATGAATATGGGATGCCTGAATTATAAAGAAGTTGAAGAAGATGACGAACGAAAAATAAAGAAGCAAAAGGGAAAATATCTCACAGTACCATTGCCGAGCGGTCTCGAAGAAATAAGCAAGAGAATTGGGAAAAACGTTGAGCTTTTCTAAATAAAACCGGACAAAGTCCTAAGTTTTAATAAATGTTATAAAACCAAATGTTAAACAGTTATGCGTTCTAAAGAAAGTCGTCTTAACCGATCTACTTTAGTACTCCTATATCAAATTTCGCAAAACATACTTATTTATCAACCAGTAATAATTTTATTCCAGGATTGTATATATATATATATATATTTGTAAATATGTGTTTAATAAATACCGACTTGTACTTGACTTATGATAACGTTTGAAATGTTTTACATCAGAAATGTATTTGTAAGGTTTCGCAGAAATTTCTTAATCGTGTTAATATTCCAGAATTTGTAAGATAATATTCAGTGAAATGTTATTGTAATCATGTAACTGTTGTTTGTGTGACATGTTCGCATGCATTCTGATATATGTGTTGTTCCATTGTGTACTATAATTGTAAAACGGTAACTGTATACAATCATCTGTGCAATTTCAACATTTGTTCTGTCAATTTGTTTTGTCGAAATTGTCTACTTTCTGTTTCGTCTCGACAACGGTGCTGATTTTCATGTACATATATTTACAAAAGATTTTAGCAAAAAGTTCATATATATCATAATATTATGTAACATATATTGTGAACTTATTGATCTTATAGTGAATTTATTTTTACGTTACAAGCAACTATTGTTTTTACTATAATCAGATATACAATTTGTGTGTCCTTGATTTATATGAGAGCTTGCCAAATAAATTGATCAAAAGTTTTGGCATCGCAGCCGCTAGGTCACACCAAAGTGTTAAGGACCCTGTATGTTTTATGATTGATATACTATGTGTGAACCACACTTGCAAAAAGTTATATATGTATATAATTATGCAAATAAAACAATTTTCAAACATCGAAGAATATGTAAAAATTTAATGTGTACTGCAAATATGTGTGCACATTATATTTAATCAGTAAATTATATGCATTCATTTCTTATTGGAACATTTGACTTAGAATATATAGAAAATAAATTTCTAATTTTTCCTTTATTTACATTAAATGTTAAATTGGGTATTAAGGGTATATATTGGAACTTACAATATTGACAAATCTTTATTTGAGCATCATATCTATGACATAAAACCATGACAAAAATGTGTTACAGGAACTTTAACGTTATGATGATTTGGTATTTTCAGTATGAAGTGAAGCTTCTAAGTATTAAGTTCAGTTAAGTCTAAATATCATATTCTAATGTAGTTTTACTGTCCCTATGAACTGCATCACTCTTTAGTGGCATTTAAATGCTAATACCTAAAATACTTAAATTTAAACTCACGGCTACCGCAACAAATTAAAATGGCAATGAAGCATAAGTCGTAAAGGGTATCAAGCTAAATGTTATGAAACAGTTTAATAAAATTTATAGAAAGTTATCAATAGTAATAATATAGCTTTCATTAAACATTCTCACATTACATAAACCATTATGTTGCAATCATATATGTTCATGCTATGTGTCATTTATGTATTACATGTTATATTTGTATATATAATATGTTTTTTATGCATACACCAAGAAATAAAAGTTCTGTTCTGTTCTATACCATAATCCTATGGTTATACTCAGAGGAGTTGTAGCATAAGATGTCATGGTATGTATAATGGCATTTTTAAAGAGGTACTTAGAAATCATATTGATCACAATTCATCATTACTTATGTAGGACATTTTGTTCAAGCTTACCTTTCAGAGTGTCAGATATTTAAAATTCCAATAATTATCAAGGGATGTAACAAAGTTAATTAATGTAAAATGTCATAAATCTAAAGTATAATAGAGAAACACCAGATGGAGTATTTTATTATTCAATAAAGTCTTGTATTTATCTAAGTCTTATATTTATGTATATTTTTGTCATATACATCAAGTGGATAATTGAGGACATGCTAGTAGTATTTTTAACAGATCTTGCAATATACAACACATATTTTTGAAAATTATGCTCTTGTGTTCTTTGTCCTTTTTATTTTTTCAAACCTTTGTAAATGTATTGAACTGTTAAATATACAAGCCTTCCTTCTACAGAACAAATAAACTAACAAAGCATGTAACATAAAGATAACGAAATTACTTAGTGTATTATCAATCAAATATTTGCAAACATCTTTCAAACAAAGATTGGATGGTAGGCAAACTCATATAAATATTTAATACAATATAGACCTTTTTCTGTTGTCCCTTTCTCCACTCTTTTCAGATTTTTAAATTTAACATGAGGCTGGGATTTCTCTAACCATGATGAATATAATATATTTGTTAATATATAAATTTTGGCATGTTAAGTTCACCGTTTGTTTCAGTGAAAGCAATTGAAGAATTTAAATTTTTTGTATGTCCCATATTTTGGAGCCAAAATTAAAAGTAAATATATAAATTGTACCAGATTCAACATTTTCTTTTTCCTTTTGATGATTAATTATAAATACTTACAAACATTTTAAATATTTTTAGATGCTTTCAAACTAGAGTAGCAGTCTTTCTTTTCCACATCAACTTAGTTCAAATGAAACAAAATTCAAAATTCAAATTTGGAAAAAGTTTTTATGTCATCATTTGTTCTGTTCTGTATAAAAAACACAATGTTCATCTGTTTGGTACACAAAGCCACATGCAAATTCAAGCGCATGAAGACAATTCATTTTATATATTCAAGTGTTTAAGCATAAATCTCTTAACATAGGCTGATTATAATTAAGAGCTGTCACAGGAGACAGCGAAGCTCGACTAATAAAATACTGGACGCAGTAAGGCAGAAAAAATATGAAAGAAAAGTCAATTATGTATAATAATGTTTTAAGCTATAGTAAAAATATTACATTTGTTAACATAAATTCCAAGTTCAAGGGGGAATATTTCTGGAAATAGTCAGTCATGCTAGAGTTATGAACCTTGTTACACAACATGTCAGTAATAATAAGATATATATAGTTGAAGTTTGAAGTAGATACCTTAAAAAGTAAAAAGTTATAATATTTCTTAAAGAAAATCCTAAGTTCAAAGAGAGATTTATCTGAAAATATTGCTTGTGTTGTTATAAAGCTTGCCACATAAGATGTATTTGATAATAAGGAATTATGTATTTGAAGTTTGAGGTAGATACCTTTAAAACTAAGGAAGTTATAGAAAAAATTAACATTTGTCAAGTAAAAAAATCTATGTTTATGGGGAGATAATGCTTGCAATATTGGTGCTAGAGTTATGAACCTTCTCACATAAGAGGTGGTTAATAATTAGAAACATATATTTTAAGTATGAAGTTGATCCCTAAACAAATAAAATAGTAACAGTAAAAACAATATTTTTTAAGGAAAATTCCAAGTTCAAGGGGAGATAAATCTAAAATATTGGGGCTAGAATTATGATCCTTGTCACATAAGATGTGGTTGACGATAAGGAACATATATTTGAAAGATGAAGTTGATCCCTTAAGAAATAAAGAAGTAACAGTAAAAACAATATTTTTTAATTAAGGACAATTCTAAGTTCAAGGGGAGATAAATTTGAAAATATTGGTGCCAGAGTTCTGAACGTGGTCACATAAGACGTGGTTGATGATAAGGAACATATATTTGAAGTTCGAAGTTGATACCTTAAGAAATGAAAAAGTAATAGTGAAAAATATTGTAATTCACCAAAACTTTAATGCGGACACTTGCGCCGGGGCGAGTAGGACAGTTCTCAATATACTTCGTATAGTCGAGCTAAAAAGTACTTTCAATGTGATGATATCATACTTATTTCATGCTTTTCTGTGATATATATTCAGATGATTATTATTATAAAATATCATTTTCACCGTAGCCGGACTATATCTGAATGCACATGAAAAGAATATCATAACTAAATGGAATAACAGGCAAAAATAAAAGCAGTCATATGTAATTATTCCTTCTGCAAGAAAAGAAAGTTGATGTCATCATTTATCATGTTAAAAATGTTTCAAAATTAGAGAGATTTAACATCACTATATTTCAAAATTGATGATAAGACGTCATGATGTTATGGTGTCATAAAAAAAAGATTGCGCGACGTTTCGCAGCAAAATCAGTAAACAATACTTAAAATCACCAAAAAAGTATGAAATAAAAAGAAAATTTATTTGTTTTACAGATAAGATTGAAATATATTTCATTTGTGAACACCAACTATTCTATTTTCAATCGTGAAAATATTGCATCTGGTGAAATATATTTCAATCTTATATGCAAAAGAAACAAATATCCTCTATATGTACACATACACTATTTTCACTTAATAATGTAAGTTAAAACATAGCACAGGTTTTCTTTTCTTTTTTTTTGTTCTGGCTTTCATGATAACATCATTGACATTATCTGCCTTATGTTCATCCTCTAAAAAATGCAAATTTTTAACAGTTAAAATATATTGGCATATACATAAACTAATTTATTATAATTATTATCATGCAAGACTACAAAAAGTGGTTTATCACACTTCATTATCTTCAAACAAGAGCCTGGATAATGCCTGATAATGGGTCTTGGAAAGTGACCTTGAACTGCAATTCAAAAACAAGAACTTAGATACATATATTGCAATCTTTAACACAAATTTTTCAGATTAAAATCTTTGCTAGAGTTATGGGCCTTGGACAATTGCCTTGGACATTGACCTCTAAATAATTATGTCTCCGAAGACATGTATAAAGATTCATTAGTTATTGGTTATATATGATATAGAGTGCATAAAATCTTTGTACAACATAGATATGCTGACACGAGACCAGGGTGATTAGATAGCTGGCCCCTCTTTTATTCAAGTAGTAGAGCTAAAAACAGGTCTGCATCAAACATTTCAGTATATAAATGATGGTAGGCTCTAATAATTAAAGCAATTGCCTCCTTTAATCACTGATAATAGTTTATAAATTGATTGACTTTAAGAATACACGGTAAAAATCATAAAGGGTTGCAAATAATTACCATATATTTTTTCAGAATAAAACTCCATCATGCAGTCTTCTGGAAATTTCAATAAGTTGACAAGCATTGTCTTCCATTGTACACATGTAGACTTGCCTCCTACATGCAAGAACACCTTGTTGCACATTGCAGCCTTCTTCTCCACACCCACCATTATGAAGCAAATTTTCTAAAATTTTGTTTAAAACTCATAGACTAAGATGTAAATTCTTGCACAAAAATGGAAGACAAACCATCATTTTATAAAAAAAGATTCAATGAAAATAAATATAATTATACATCTACATTTAACAAAAGGTAATATATATGAAATGTTTTTTTCATTTGTACTCTTTTTATTTTATAAAATGGATTTCATTTTTAAATAACCATTTTTTTAGATAAGTAAATTCCCGGATATATATAAACCAAATATCTTAAAATGAATCTTATGTTTGATATAATCCTGATGACATGCTGACTCTGATAACAAAATGTCAGAATTGTAGACAGTCTAAAAGAATTGATGCTTTTTCTTTAAGGAAAACTAATATTTTAGTACCTTAATGACATCATGTGGTCAAAATAACCACAGAGTAATAGAGTGTCATACAACTTATAAAGTTTAATTCTAACTAACTATCATACTTCTTATGACATGTAACTTATGTAAATCCAAACTCCTGAAAAACATTTAGGTTTGTTTGTGTGGCTTTTACGCTATTTCAACACATTCCAGGTCATATCTCAAGGGTTGGTTTACCTTGCCAGCTTTTCTGGGTAAACAGTTCTAACCAATTTTTCAGCAAGTGACCAACTACTTATACCAACTTATTTGACAATAGAGACTCATTATACCAGATAGATTGTCACTACTAGCCCAATGAAATACCCAGTTACCCCTGAATTACAAATAAGGTGTCCTACCTATTCACCTTTGGCTGATTTAATAACAACAACAAAACAATTGGGGACTTCAAAATGTTTTGATGAAATAAGATTCTGATAACACGAGCATCGCATGCAGTATAAACACCTGTCGGTTTAAACTTCTTCTAAGTTTAAATTAAGTGATACCTCAAAAAGTATTGCTTTCAGAATTAAGCCCCTTTTTTTAAACTGCACCTTATCATGATAAGCAACTATTCCAATGTCATGTTGAAAGATTACATTAAAAAGATTTATGATGATGATGCAGCAATCATAGTACCTTAATTTTTTCCCAGGTCCAGATAAGTTATCCTTTTCAGGACAGGATGGTTCTTTTTTCAATGCATTATATTGCAATGGAAAATTTAAAAAATTGTCCTTTTATTTATTTAAATACTCTAGTCAAAATCGTATGTTACTTAAAAACTAATTTTACTTTTTCAGTAAACAATTTCAATCATTAGCAAAATATATACTCACCACAAATTAATATCTCCCTTGGAATCCTTCCTTTCCAGGAAGTTTATGGCAGTGTTGATCCTAATATCTGTCTGCAAATCTATGCAACATAAATGCATATATAAAAGTTATTAAAATCATGTATAATGTAACATATTCAAATGAGTAGTTGCTATAGTGTGATACAATATGCACAATATTTACAGACTCTGGGGGCTGGTTAATTTTGACCCAAAGGGCATGATTTTTTAAAACTATTGTAGAAAACAAAATGACGATTCTTCATGCCAAATATCTAATCTCTGGGCATTGTACGTTCTGAAAAGATACTCCTGTTATCAACTTAAGCATCAGGCAGGAACCTTCTTTATAACTTTTGTACTGGGCCAGCAAATTGTTTAGGAGATGTACAACGATGACTGACTGTCCACAGACATTGCATTCAAACAAACTCAGCCCTAAGCTCCTTTACTTAAATATGCAGAATTGCAAATAAATTACATTTACATCTTTTATTTTAAAAGAAAATCTCCAGAAAAAGACGAAAAAGTAAGCTTGTGAATTTTTGCAGAGTTTTGAACTGGTCCTGTGAATAAGTCCCTTTTTTAGTACCACGTATACAAGGAA